ATAAAAAAATAAAAAAGGCATTATAGTTTGAATAAAACAATCATAGTATTGGATAATCTACTCCAACATTCATATCAAAATTAGAAGGATTTTTTTTAGGATTAAATTATAATATTATTTTTATTATCAGTTTATATATATATATATATATATATATATATATATATATAATTATTATTGTAAATATTCAATTCCAACATATTCCATTGAAAAAATTACATGTAATTGATTGAAGTATTTTGAAGAATTTAAGGTAGGTGATATTTATAAACTTTAAGTTTAAATTATTTAAAACTCATTTATTCATTTGAATGTTGATTTCGTGGGTGATTTGATTACAGCAAAATATTCATACCACAAGAGCACTAATAGGCTTTTTGGACTATTACCTGACCAAAGGATATGGTGATCATCTTTGGGTGCTCCAAACAACAACCTAAAAAATCTTTTTGGTCATAACTTTTTGTTTTACAATAGGGCTTTCAAATACCTTGGTTTTATCCATACTAACTCCTTTTTTAAAATTTTTTTCTTCTTTTTTCCCTTAGTTCTTTTTCCATTCAAAATTGAAAAAGCAATTGTAGCATATAAGAAAAGTTCCATTGATTCATGTTAAGATTCACACAATATACTTTAAGGCTGCTCATCCAAATAGAACTTATGGCCTGTTTAATATCATGTAATGTGCAAAATTACATTCCTTGTGCTTGTGCAAGAATCAGAGCCCCTCTTGAAAATTCTCATACTTTGAGTGAAGTTACATTTCTAAGTTTTAAAAATGATTCATTGAAGAATATTATTTAATTTCTGAGTATACACAAAAAAAAAAAAAAAAAAAAAAAAAAAAAAAATCTCCAATCATGGGGTTTATATGTAAGTGATAAAATATATATATATATATATATATATATATATATTCTATTCTTTGAACTTTAATTGGCCTACTCTCCCACATAGAAGATCTAGGGTTGGGTTGGGTTCATGTGGATGTAAGTGCATGTTTGGGGAAACACCAACACACTCCTGGGATCCTCCACTTTAATGAACAAATTTGCGTACATGTCCACAAATAGGAACAAGGATTGGAAGAGGCTCGGATGACGTTGGAGACAAAATGGGCCTTGATTCCCTAAACTTGGTTTGATTCTAATCCCCCTTTTTGAATGCTTCCTGGGGGAGTTCTTGCCTTCTGTTGGTTACATCTTGTCTGTAGTCTGTTGTTTCTTTTTTATAGTATATGCATTTATAGGTTGTTTTATATTGAAATCAACCACAGTTTAGTGGTTTTCATTAGGTTTAGAGATTGCTCAATGATGAATATATATATATATATATATATACATACATACAAGTCAAAGTAGATTAGTGGGTTCATCTGAAAGTCAAAGCATGAATATACATATAAGTCAAAGCAGATTCTCTTGGAATATGGAATGAATGATTTTGATTTTATTTGTTCATATACTGAATCTTAGATATTTTATATTTTATTATAGCATGTTATCCAGACCATGAGAAAAACAAATCAACCTTGGAATGCCTCCACAATGTACAATGCACTTCTTGGGGAGACAACAAAAAAGTAGAAGAAGAAAAATAATGAAAAAAAAAAAAAAAAAAAAAAGTACAAAATTCCAGAGCTCTGAAAATCTACATGCAAGTGTTTTAAAAAATGTACCTATTGCAAATCTCAAGGCTTTGTTATATAGAAATTTTCACATCCAATCAAATTAAATGTAGGATTAAATTATGTTGGGTTTTGGTTTTATACAATGCATCTTTCTCACTCAGATACTACTTTTGCAGCTCATAATCTCATAATCTTTCAATGGCAAGCATGTAACCATGATGTTTGTATAACTAACTATTCTTCTTCTTGTACAGTTTAAATGAGACCTTATTTCTTTGGCATAGTATCCCTCTTGTCATAATACAGGCATGAATATTTGTTTAACACTGACTTCATTGAGATGCATTTGCTAATTCAGGACCCCTCTTAAAAGGATTGTGTTTGTATTGCTGTAGCCTTTTCAAATATAATTTACCATTTGATCAAAGTTGCATAGGACTAAATAGTTCAATAACAATGGTAAGAAAGCAAACAGAGTTTGATTTGCCATGAAGCTTGCATTGCATCATTTGTTGGCATGGATCTTGCTCTTTGAATTGCATTGAAGTTGAGAAAGATTAATCATATATATATATATATATATATATACAAAATTTTAAATGCTCCAAAAGCTATTCAATATATTTTTCAATCAGCTTACACTTGTATGGGTTTTGATTAGTTTGGTTGAAGAAACATGACATGGGTGCATGGATCTGCATAAAATAAATTAAAATATAAAACAAGCTTGAAAAATGAAACATGCTCATTTAAATTTATCATGTTTCAAAAGATAACTGAGATTAAATTAATTTTCAAGTTATTCCAACATCGGCATGATATCAAATCAATGCTTTTTTCTATCTTTTAAATTTTAAAACTTAAATTCCTCAATATATTTTGACCCACATGAATGAACGCATATTATAAATTTGCATTTGATGAAAAATAGAAAATTGAGTATATTCATAATTGAGTAAAAAATGGGTTTGACGAACAATAATTTAAATGAATACCAAAAACAAATTAAATAAAATATAAGCTATTTCTCAAGTTGCTTTACAAAATGGTAAAATATTTAAATTTGATTGAATTCTGATGATTTTCAATACACGTCAATTGAAAAACACAGCATGTTGTCTATTTGACGTTAACTATTAGATTTGTATGAGAGCATAGTTGAATTAAATTCAAGTTAATATTTGAAAACCAATGAATTTACTTCATTCACCTGAAATTATCACTTTGTTAAATCATTTAATACATTTTAATTACAAATACGAAAGCATTAAGTAATACTTACTGTTCATTCCTTTACAGAAACGTTCACCGTTTCATGACTGGATAACCCGAGTTTTAGCCTGAGGAGATGCTTACACACACACACACACACATGTATATATATATATATATATATATATATACTTATTTATTTGTTGTAGATTTTTATTATTTATTTGTTTTGGCCCCAACTTTCTGCATTTCAAGTTGACGAAAGCAAAGGGTTCGGGCAGACCAGTAAAAAATAATAATAATAATAAAATAAGAATGATTCTGTTTTGGTTTGGGGGAGGGACATGGGGCAGTGGGAACCCACCAAAATAATAAAATAATAAAATAATAAAAAGGAAGCATGCCCGAACAAAAAAAAACTTCGATACTAGACAAGCATCAATCCTGCCAAGGGCGATGGCGGGCAGCAGCCCACGGGCAGCAACGGTCAGGACCTAGAGACTGGAGTAAGGCAATGGGCATCCACCAAAATTAGGTTTTGAAGATACTTTTGCAGCACTTTCATGAGAATGAATGGAACTGGACAAGGTTTAGATGGAGTTCATATGACCAAAATTAGTCATACAATAAAGAGACTATAGATAGGGGGACATAGGTTTCGAAAGAAAAAAAAATTAAAGAATTAATGTGTATCCTCCAATCAAATTGAATTTGGGTAAATTTTGATGCTTTTGAAGAATGCATCAAAAACAAAGCAATATAGAATTTATCAAATGTATCAAAGGTAAATACAAAGTGGCATGCCTATGTACACCTCTTATTGTCCTCTAAATAGGGACAACTTTCTCTTATTCTTAGTAGAATGTGAGCTTTTTCAAAAAAGAACACATGGTTTAATGTCATTGACTTTATTTTTATTTATTTATTTATTTTTGTAAGAAAATTTCTCCCTACCATCACTCCACCTTGATGCCCCTTGTTGAATGGATGGAAATTTGTCAAAGAAATTATAGATCAATTATACAATGCACAAAGTGCATTTATTGGAGAATATAGCTTACAAAGAGAATAGTGAACAAGATATACTTAATTCTCTAAAAAATACAAAATGTATAGTAGTACAATAGTAGATTAGAATCACATACTTAAACAATCTAATTCTTTTGCTACTATACATTTGAAACATTTACTTGACTACCTTAAAATTTATTAATTTGCATTGATTCTCATCTCTCATTTTTTTCAAAAGCATTTTCTTTTCTCAAGGCACATAAACATCACATGATTTAGAAAGAAAACACATGATTTGTTGTCATTGGTTTTCTTATTCTTTAAGTATACTTATCCATACCATCTTTCCACTCATACACCCCCCCCCCCCCCCAAATGTGAGGATGGTTTAATTGTAACTTTGTACAATTTGATAAAGTATTGAATCAACACCATTTCCCATCCAACGCTACATTTAAAAATTATAGTGTAGATACAAAACTTGATCCAAAGTATATCTGAAATGATCTTTCTCAAACAATCAATAGAAAAACCATACCGACCAAGTAGAAAAAATCAAAAGCTTCAATGAACACATCCACTCGGGTATGCATTTTTAACCAATTAAACCAACATCAAGACCCTAGAGCCTTATTCAATTAAAAATAACATTATGAAGTCTTTCTATTCACTAAGAATATAACTAATTTCACTATCGGATCAATACGAACATAAAAACTGAAACCCTAAAAGTACAAAAGTTAGGGTTGCGGGGAAGTGGGGCGGTGGTCGAAGCAACGCAAGGGCACACCTCGCGATGCGTAGAATTCCTTGGATATGGCGCAGGCTTAGCGAGGAATCGTGCACCATGACGGAGTGAAGAAGTGGGGAGGAGGAGGAGCAAGATTGGAACCAAGCTACTGCGACGTGGTGGTGGTGGTGGTGGGGGCGGAGAATCCTCCTCGCAAGAATTGGAGAGACATCCACATTAGAAAATCAGGGCTAAAAGACAAGGAATCGGTAAAAAAGCAGGGCATGCGCTGTGAATCAGCCGCGAGCGGCGGTAACAAACGGAACCGCCAGCGGTCCTCGCTTGGTTTCGCTTGATTCGTCGGCTGCTCTCCATAGATATATATATATATATATATATATATATATATTTTCTTTTTTGTGTGTGTGTGTGTATAAATGGGTATTTCTTTTTTTAAAAATTTTGTCTGTTTTTGTGGATGGGGACTGCCTCTGCTGATTGGGGAATTATATAGCTGTAGTGTAACTTATGTGGCGAGCAGACGAGCGCATGGAGATTCTCATGTCCTGTGATTGATGATTGAGAGCTTCTGGTGGGTTGGCAGTCCTGGGTTGCTTGCCGTGCACTGGAAAGCTGTGTTGGGTTTGCTGTAGGAGTTCTTCGTCTTCCTCCTCTTCTGCGCTTTTCCAGTCTTTGAGTGGATCCTCGAGGTGGCGACAGCATTGCCTTCCGTTCCTGTCGGAATTATTCGGCACCTTGCTGGTCCACTTGGGAAACTGCGAGTTGAAAGGCTTCATGCCCCGTGTAGTCGTGTCGGAAGTCACATATCTGGCATTGGGGTTGGACTTGTTTATCGAGTGTTGTAGTGGATTCAGTGTAGAGGCATTGGTTTGTGGATGTAACTGGAGCCTATATCAGTGTTTGATGTTTCTTGGGCGAGTTTCTTTTCTTTTAAACCACTTTTTCTCAAGAATTCGTGGATTAGGGTAGAAGGTGCTTTGTTTTTGAAAGCACATGAGAGTGTTGTTTATTCTGTAGAGTTTGTGGCGGTGGGCGAAACACATTTGCAGGTGAGGCAGAGAGGCGAGGGTAGTGTTTAGTGGAGTGGGTTTTTCATCATGGGTATGAAGGCCGTGATGGTGGAGGAGCCGCCGCAGCCTTTGGTTATATGTGGGCCCTCGGGAGTGGGCAAGGGCACGCTCATTGGGAAGTTGATGGAGGACTTCCCTGAGAAGTTCGGTTTCTCCGTGAGTCACACCACGCGCAACCCCCGGATAAGGGAGATTGATGGAGTGCACTACCACTTTGCCTCTCGCGGCGTCATGGCGCAAGAAATTAAGGAGGGCATGTTTCTTGAGTCCGCTGAGGTCCATGGCAACTTGTACGGGACTAGCTGGGCTGCCGTGGAAGCTGTGGCAGACGCCGGCAAGGTACAGACATCCCTCGATCACTGATTCTACACTTGCGATTACGAACATCGAATTAGTGGATTCGTATTTTTCACTTTCCTGAGTACTGATGTGTTCCAATTGCTGTATGGCAGACCTGTATTTTGGATATCGATGTCCAAGGGGCTCAAGAAGTGAAGAAGAGTGCTTTGAAGGCAATATATATTTTCATCAAGCCTCCAGCTCCCGAAGAGGAAGTGCTGGAGGGGCGTCTTCGAGGAAGGTAATCACCAATGCTCATTTCATTTGGAGCTGTACCCGGCAGTGAGATTATTAGCATTCTATTATTCTTTTGGCTGTGGTTAATCATATGTTGGTACGTTTTGTGCGTGGGAATTCAGAGGCACGGAAACAGAGGAACAAATCCAAAAGCGTTTGAGAGGTGCCAAGCAAGAGCTTGAGCGTGCCAAAGATCCCGCTTTGTTCGACTACATTCTTGTGAACTGTAACTTGAATGAAGCGTACGAAGATCTGAAGGTGAGCAGTCTGTGACCAGACTCGCCATCTGTGAACTGCACGTAGTTGGTTAGGCGTTCGTGTTCATTGGAGTATTATTTCTGCAAGAGCAGAGAAAGTTGCAGCCATTGGTTCCGTATGTTGCATTGCAGCATTTTCAGTTCAAAGTACATATTTTTGTTTTGTCACATGTTGCAGGCTATCCTAGGTCTCGGTCGTCCAGCCACTTCTGCCCATTCCAATGGCACTGCCAAACATCGTATGATGCTTACCACTCAGTTCATTATTTTGAGACAACCCGGATCCGCTTGGAGTAGTTGATGACCTTTCCAAATTAAGTGTTCTAGTTTCTAGGAGTTTTTTTAGTAATATTATTTCAGTCTGTTTAACGTGATTGTAATGTCGAAGCTAACGAGTGTTCTTTGCTTGCAGTAGTGAATGGATTGAAGGTTTCATCAAGTGGTTACTCTGCATCAGAAAATGGATCATCCACCAGTGCTCATGAGTAAGCACTCATTTCCCGTCTTCAATCTATTTCCTATTTTGGCAGTGTACCCCTGATTACCTTGTCTGACTACACTTCAAGCTTGGGCTGTGTAGTACTTGGATGCTAGCCTCTGGCAATCATTGGGCACTTTATCAACTTCAGTTAGCGTGAGTGCCAGAATTACTTGTGTCCACACCAATGAACACCTTGTCCTCTGTTTTACTGTTTGTAATGAGTTCTTTTTGGCACTGTGTGACAGGTCGGTTTCTGGGTCTCCCAAGACGAATGGGTTCCTCATGAATGGTTCTCATTTTTCAAAACCGAGCAATATGATGAAATCTGCCAACTTTAGTCATGCACTACCAATCCTCACATCATCAGATCATTTGGTCATTATGCATTCGGCAACAGGATCACCAAGGGCGAAAGGAATTTCGGCATCATAACCCTGCTGGTGACTTTCCTAGACTGTAGTAGGGAAGCCAAAAAAATTCAGCTACTGTAGTACCTAATTCATCAATTACCGTGCTTCTCATAGAGCGGACAATTCAAGTTGGAGATGGGTTCATGTGCAATCTTCACCTTTTTACTACCATTTCAAATAATGAGAAGAAAGCATCTAGTTTCCAGTTAATTTTGCCCCCAGTTGTAGTTGCTAGTCGGGAGGTAATAGCCCGAACCTTCTTCATCGTCGGAATCTCCCAGTTTGGACACCATAATTTGAAACGGTGTCCATGTATGTTGGAGGGCGTAGCCTCTGTCTCTGTCAGAATCGCCTACAACCGATCTCTCTGACAACAGTTACCCTGTTACGTTGAATAGCAGAGTTCTGTGCCCGAGAGTGGAGACTGCTTGGCATGCACGCGGTAACTACTAATCAACGCAGGTATAGATCCCTTGATGTTAGAAGAGAGTGGAGAACAGTTCAAGACACTCTGGCCACTCTGAATTTCCTTTGATTAAAACGCAAGCCGAGATGATGCCAGGCCTTATAACTTAATCCGTTTTGTCTATCTATTGTAAATTGTTTGACGTGTTATTGTCGGTGTGCCGTTGCTCAGGTGCTATTTCTTTCCACTACTTGCCTGACACTAAGTCATGGGTAGTTGCATGGTACCATTCAGGTTTTTCAGTTTTCAGTTTTCAGTTTTTTATTTTTTGAACTCAGATCGAGTTTCCAAGTCGAGATAAATAGTGCGTTGTATCCTTATTATAACCAAATACGATTTCATTACAGTTAAAACCAGACAGAAGTTACCTTTGGTACTTTTGCTGAGACTCTTGCCACCACGAAGATTACGCTCGCTGGGGGGTGCACTCAGTTGACAAAGAAAGAACGTCGAGTTTTTGTTTGAGCTTTGGTTCCTTTCTCACCACTGTCTGGATCTTTGACTTCCTAGCAATTGTGAGCACGTCAAGCCCAACTTGAGCTCGTCTCAAATGCAGTCACACTTATGTTGGTCGACTCTTCAAATGTTCATTGAATTATAAGATTTCCATCGCTTCATGTGTAGTGAACTGAAGAATTGAAGCAAAATAATGTAGTGCAATACGATAGAAACTTCGAACGTCTACTATTTGCAAGCAACTCAAAGTTGAACTAAAATTTCGGTTAAATCATAAAATATCGAGAAGTCCTCTAAGGTCATGGGCTGAGACTGCACTTGAACACTACAAACACAAGGCACAAGAAGCTTAGAGATTTCTCTCTTTTCAACCAAGCCTTTTCGTTCATTCAATTTTTTTATTAGTGTTTATTGTTTCGCTGCCGTCACTCACTACAATGCTACATGTTCACTACAATTTTGCTGTTATTTGCGCGCAGAATAGAGACTGCCGTAGCAGATCTTCTGAGGAACTGATAGCCCATTATAATCTCGCACATCCTCAACATCCAGTCTCCAGTCATGGATTAAAGAGTCTCTCCTCACCTACACACACTTCACTCAACATTGACACTCACAGATCTTTCTGCCTCACCCTGGAGCACTTACGTTGTAATGAAGCAGCATTATTTTCCTTTTCTCATGTGATTCAAGCACTCAACGTTTCCGTGGGCACACCATGGATTTGGACAATTCACGGCGAGCTGGTGAGAGCTGAGAAATAGATAAGTTCACGTCTGTGGTGGCTGGATGTGGTGCAGAGTCTTAACCATCCTTAGCAGGATTCAATTGCTTGCCTTCGAAACTTGTGGGTACTCCTGATCTGCCCCACAGATCCCATGCTTGTCGTCGATGTGAAGCTGCCGATGGTTGTTGAACGAGAGCGATTCCAGGTTCGAAAGCTTCATGAGAACTTGGATTTGAAAATCACTCCATGAAGCCTTCACTTGCACACAGGGTTTCAGATTTTTGTGAACAAATCATGTGATATAAGTTGATGGCTTCAAAATGCTGTAGAAAAATATTCTCCCATGCTGTTGGGAAGACAAGAATGATCAAAAGTGGATTGAGAGTTGCTTCATTTACACAGATGAAAAAAAAAATGTGAAGTTTGACAAAAACAAAAAAAAGATAGAAGTTATATCAGAAGAAAGGAAAGGTGAAAGGGTGCATTGTTAATAGTCTATGCTAAAGTACAACATGAATATCAGTAATGAAATCTAATGAATTAGAGTAATAACTTTTGTTTACCCATCTTTGAGAAAAAAACAAGATCTACCAGACTGTACAATTTATTTACAAAATGCATCAGACCTTTCAATAGAGCTTTACATGAACTATTTTCAACAATCTCTCAACTAGGAACATGATTTATTGCTATATAATTAGGAGATATTTTGACAAATTATTCTTTGAACTTTTAAGCCAATGGATGGGCTCAGTCATAAATTTTAAAAAATGTTCATGTGCAAATCCAGCTGGTGCAGACAAACTTGCTTTAGAAAAACTTGTTGAATTTTTTTTTGTCTTTGTAGAATCCAAAATATGAATCTGGCTTGATTACCTTTTAGCTCTCAAAGCACCAGCTAAGTAAATGACAATAAAAAAATAATTATAGAAGTTTTACATGGCATAGGAGCTATTTGAAAGAGTAATATGTTGAAATAAGGGGAGACCGAAAAGAATGAACATTATTAAAAAAAAAACAGGAGAAAAATTAAAAGTAAATGTGAAATTAACAGATGTGGTTGTTGAATTAGACGTGTCAAAATTTGTAGTCAATGTACACAAGAAAAGGTAGGAAAGTGAAAAAATGTTTAAATTAGTAAATGTAGTTTGCAAATCAAAAACAATAGTCAACTTTTCCCACCAAACGTCGTTATCTTTTCTTTTGTAATCTTAAAAAAGTTTGACTTTACATACCATTCAAAATAATCAAGAAGGTTTTGTGCATTTAAAACATTATAATATAAATGAGTAGACTGCCTTTAGACTCTTGCACAAAGTCAATGAAGATTTTTTATGAAAACTGTTCAATATTCTTTTATTAAATAAGACATCTAAAGAAATCCAACTACAAGCTTTTTGGTAAATGACATGGTTAGCACATCAACCAAATTTGCATTACGAGTTTGCATCACAATCAGTACATGACTAAATTTGATTACATATGTTTCAGATTTATGCAGCTGTCCCTATTTTCTCATTTGAAGAATCCTTGAGTTATATTTTATAATTCAGAACAGTTGATTGTAATTTCAACTAAAAATATTGATCATATGATTACATAGACTGTAAAATTGAAAATATACTGTTAAAATGTGATACATGTTATGATATTTGTAAAAATAGCTGAAAATACTCGGCATGTTAAAATTTATAATTAAAAATATTTCAATTAATTTTTATATATGCACTTATATTTTATTTAAAATCTCTGATATAATGGTGAAATTTGTCATAATAATGAAGTAGCATAAACAAAATGTGTCTATAAGTTTTTTTTTAATATATATATATATATATATTAAAGTCTAAAAAAATGAAAAAGGGGATTTTTTGTCCTGGAAATGAAAATATGCAAAAAGAATACTTCTGTGCTACAGTATGCACTTTTTATTTGCATAAAAAAGTATAGCCCATTCAAAAAGCTGGAACTTCATTGCTAAATGCCAAAATATCCAAAGCTCCAGACTATATGATCTTGTGAATAGAGACACTAATTTGTACCATGAGCAATTGTAATAGATGTTTTACACTTTGTTTACTATCTGCAATGACATCGACGCCCAATGAAGAGCACGTCGACAGTTTGTATGAAAGCTGGGAACCTGCAAGACAATGCTTCCCTTCACTAGTACAAAAAAGAACCCTCGTTCATATATATATATATATATCTATGAATGAGCAGCGCTGGCTGAGAAAGATGACCGACACAGGAAAGTTCAACCACCTCCTTTCGAGTTTCACGAGTGAAGTTTTGATCAGATCCTAAACCATTCTCATAAAAGGAGTGGCAGCAGCAGCTGAAGCAAGAAGTGAAGCATGCTAAGATACTTGTATGGAAGATATTAGACTCATTCGATTGCGTCACATACGACTAGTTAGTGTCAGAATTGTCCAAGTCTTGGATGTGTTGGCGTTGATCCATTCAAGTGATGCTACACTTTCTCAAACTTCACGTCACAGAGCACACCCTTAACATCCTAACATTCATTTCAATGCGGCCATGAATGTGTAGTAACGCTTCATAAGCGCCTAAATTTCACAATTGGAACTTCTAGATTGAAAAGAATACAAACTTGGTGATAGCACGACGGTAGAAGGACGAGGACTGCATTACAATCCAAATCCTCTGAATATTGTAGTTGCCGTGAATATGGGCACAACTCAGCCATGGCCAAGCTGCTCTCGCCTCAATCTTCCACTAGTCACTCTAAGTTCATGACGGTGGCTTGATCGCCACCAAGCGCGTAAGAAGAACACAAACAATCCTAGTATCATCCTACATCGGCAACATCCCCGAAGAAACTACTATGGTACATGTGTTGGGCTGCAGGCTTAGTGTCCCAGATTCCTACAAGCCCTTCCAAGGTTTGGAAGCGTGCGATGGCGGAATAGCAACCTCTAGGTTCAACTTTGTCTTCGCGTCTTCGTACTCCTCCATCGTCAAAGTGAGGTTCTTCACTCCAGTGGCATTCAACACATTCCGCACCGGCTTGGCCACATGAATATTAGACAGAAACTCCAGAGGGAACAGCACTAGCATATCCATCGAGGCGAGATAGAAAGCTTGGGGTGATCGAAACAGCGAGGGTTACAACTGATCGAGCTCTAGGTGCACAGGGACTTTAAAGGCCACTGCAGCAGACGCTCAAGCTTTTCGACAATCGACGCGAGAGGAAGGATAATGTGCCGATATCGATCAGAACCCATGCGGAGGAAAGGCATAAAGGTCAAGCACATGGATTCCTCACTTGCCGTCAAACTGTATGCGTGGACACAAGCACTTTTTTCTTACAACCCCATGCTTTTCTGAGGAACTTTTGGCGGAAGATATTTTATCCAGCACAAAAAAAAGAACTTGGCTTCAACCTAGAAACAAAAGGGTTCCATGCCCACTTCTGAGGGACTCAATCGGGGTGGCACATGAGTAAGTTTATCTGCTGACGAAGATTGATTCCGACACAAAGAGATGCAAAAAGCAACTTTCAGATTTCGATAGAACCAAACAGCAAGGAGGAGACAATTGGGGACCATCTCGGACCTTCCACTGCCACCGAAACTGCAGATCGAGCGCAGGAATAAACAGGCCCACCTCCAGAGCTCGATCAAAACCCAGTCTTTGTTCTTAAAAAAAAACCATTTTCCATCCTCCACCACGTGAACCACGCCGCAGAGCTTGCAACGTACCGAACCACTGGAGCTGCCGCTGCTCCCATCACCACCATAATCTATCTATCTATCTATCTATATATATATAGATATGTATCAGTTTTTGGTTTATCACTGCTGCCAGTTGATTCACAAAGTATGGAAGCACTCTGGCGAGAATTGATCCATGCTTCCTTCAGATGAGGATTCTCTAAGACGAACCCTCCTTACTTACATGAAGATTGAAACACTTT